GAGAAGAATATTGCCTTCAAGGAATCCGTGGGCTCTGGGGGTCTATTTAGGCATCTTGAGAAGTAAATTCCCTTCAAGGTAACCGTGCATTTTGAGGATCTATTGAGATATCTTGAGAAAGGATATTCCCGTCAAGATGTCCATGGGCTCTGAGGATCTATTGAGATATCTTGATAAGGAAACTGCTGTAAGGTGTCCGTGGGCTCTGCGGATCTATGGAGGTATCTTGAGAAGGAAATTCCCTTCAAGGTGTCCGTGATATCTGTGGATCTATTGAGGTATCTTGAGAAGGAAATTCCCTTCAAGGTATCCATGGGCTTTTTGGATCTATTGAGGTATCTTGAGAAGGAAATTCCCTTCAAGGAGTCCATGGGCTCTGAGGATCTATTGAGGCATCTAGGAATAGAGGCGAATATGTAGCAACAAGTTAGAACCATGCATCTTCACTTCGGTGCAGGAGACTTATGCTTCCAAAAGCACCAATTCACTACCAAATCTCAAATGAAAGTAATCTCCATCCAAGAGAATAAAAAGAAGAGACCCTATATCAAAGCAGAGTGAAAGAAGACTTTTGCTTCTCTCACCACTGCGCACAATCAAAGATAGGATCCTAGTTCAAATAATTCCAAACAGGAACCGAAGATCCATGATGAGATTGCTCAAAGCACAAAGAAAGCACGAAGCAAATAGCAGTGCCTTCCAGCAGTGAAACGAAGAATATACACCCGCCACCACCCCGAATTCGCCAGAAGGCACGGCGCAACAGTGGGACAAGACGAGAGGAGCAACCGCACAGGGAATCATCCAGATACGAAACTAATCCTCGCAATTTACTCGTCAGGTTGCGGCCCCGCGTTCGCCCGCTGCAAGCAGCAAGCAAAGTGAAAGCCACGCTGCAAATCCATCGAGATCCTGGCACGGATCTGATTCTTCGAGCTCCCCGCACGAAGTCCGAATCTCGCATCCCTCATTTGACACAATGAATCCACGATAACTTCACTTTCCTCATGAACTCCCCCAGTCGATTCCCAAACCATTGGCTCGAATCCTAGCAATTGTTTCGCGCACTTATTCTTGAGGCATCTTGAGAAGGAAATTGCCTTCAAGGTGGCCGTGGGCTCTGAGCATCTATTGAGGCATCTTGAGAAGGAGATTCCCTTCAAATGGATCATGGATTCTATGGATCTATTGAGACATCTTGAGAAGGAAATTCCCTTCAAGGTGTCCATGGACTCTATGGATCTATTGAGGCATCTTGAGAAGCAAATTCCCTTCAAGACATCCGTGGGCTCTGAGGATCTATTGATGATTCTTGAGAAGGAAATTGTCTTCAAGGTGTCCATGGGCTCTGAGAATCTATTGAGGTCTCTTGAGAAACAAATACTCTTCAAGGTGTCCATGGATTCTAGGGATTTATTGAGGCATCGAGAAGCAAATTCCCTACAAGAAGGCCGCTCTGTGGATCTATTGAGGCATCTTGAGAAGCAAATTTACTTCAAGATGTCCATGGATTCTGCGGATCTATTGAGGCATTTTGATAAGGAAATACCCTTCAAAGCGTCCATGGACTCTTTAAATCTATTGAGGTATCTTGAGAAGGAAATTGCCTTCAAGATATCAGTGATCTCTATGGATCTATTGAGGCATCTTGAGAAGAAAATTCCCTTCAGGGTATCCGTGGACTCTATAGATCTATTGAGGTATCTTGAAAAAGGAAATGATCTTCAAGAAATCCATTTCCTCTATGGATCTTTTGAAATATCTTGAGAAGGAAATTTCCTTCGAGGTATCCATGGACTCTATGGATCTATTGAGGTATCTTGAAAAGGAAATTGTCTTCAACTTATCCATGGTTTCTGGGGATCTATTGAGGCATCTTGAGAAGGAAATTCCCTTCAAGGTATCCATGGTCTCTGAGGATCTATTGAGGGATCTTGAGAAGGAAATTTGCTTCAAGGCGTCCGTGGGCTCTGTGGTTTTATTGAGACATCTTGAGAAAGAAATTCCCTTGAAGATCTCCATAGGCTCTATGGATCTATTGAGGCATCTTGAGAAGGAAATTCTCTTCAAGGTGTCCGTGGACTCTATGGATCTATTGAGACATCTTGAGAAGGAAGTTACCTTCAAGGAATCCGTGGGATCTGCGGATCTATTGAGGCATCTGGAGAAGGAAATTGCCTTCAAGGTGATCGTGGGTTCTGGACATCTATTGAGGCATCTTGAGAAGGAAATTCCCTTCAAGGTATTCGTGGCCTCTATGGATCTATTGAGGCATGTTGAGAAGGAATTCACTTCAAGGTATCCATGGGATCTGTGGATCTATTGAGGCATCTTGATAAGTAAATTCCCTTCAAGGTGTCCGTGGGCTCTGAGGATCTATTGAGATATCTTGAGAAGTAAATTCCTTTCAAATTAACCGTGGGTTCTATGGATCTATTGAGGCATCTTGAGAAGGAAATTCCCTTCAAGGTATCCGTGGGCTCTACGGATCTATTGACGCATCTTGAGAAGCAAATTCCCTTCAAGACATTCGTGGGCTCTATGGATCTACTGAGTCATCTTGAGAAGGAAATTGTCTTCAAGCTGTCCGTGGACTCTGAGGACCTATCGAGGTATCTTGAGAAATATAGTCTCTTCAAGATGTCCATGGGAACTGAGAATCTATTGAGTCATCTTGATAAGGAAATTCCCTTCAAGATATCCATGGGCTCTATGGATCTAATGAGATATCTGGAGAGGAAATTGCTTTCAAGGTGTCCGCGGGCTCTACGGATCTATTGAGATATCTTGAGAAGGAGATTCCCCTCAAGATATTCGTGGACTCTATGGGTCTATTGACGTATCTTGATAAAGAAATTCTCGTCAAGGTGTCCGTGGTCTCTGCGTATCTATTGAGGCATCTTGAGAAGCAAATTCCCTTCAAGGTGACCATGGACTCTGTGGATCTATTGAGGCATCTTGAGAAGGTAATTTCCGCCAAGGAATCCATAAACTCTACGAATCTATTGAATTATCTTGTGAAACAAACTATTTTCAAGGTATCCGTGGGATCTATGGATCTATTGAGTTATCTTGAGAAGGGAATTGCCTTCAAACTATCCATGGGTTCTGTGGATCTATTAAGGTATCTTGAAAAGGAAATTCTCTTCAAGGTGCCCGCGGCCTCTGAGGAATCTATTGAGATATCTTGAGAAGGATATTCCCTTCAAGGTATCCATGGGCTCTGCGCATCTATTGAGGCATCTTGAGAAGGAAATTGCCTTCAAGATGATGGGGGATTCTATGGATCCATTGAGGGATCTTGAGAAGGAAATTTTCTTCAAGATATCCGTGGACTCTATGGATCTATTGAGGCATCTTGAGAAGCAAATTCCCTTCAAGGAATCCATGGGCTCTGAGGATCTATTGAGGCATCTTGAAGAGGAAATTCCCTTCAAGGTGCCCGTGGACTCTGAGGATCTATTGAGGCATCTTGAGAAGGAGATTCCCTTCAAATGGATCATGGATTCTATGGATCTATTGAGGCATCTTGAGAAGGAAATTCTCTTCAAGGTGTCCATGGACTCTATGGATCTATTGAGGCATCTTGAGAAGGAAATTCCCTTCAAGGCATGCGTGGGCTCTGAGGATCTATTGAGGAATCTTGAGAAGGAAATTGTCTTCAAGGTATCCGTGGGCTCTGAGGATCTATTGACTATTGAGGTCTCTTGAGAAGAAAATACCCTTCAAGGTGTCCGTGGAGTCTATGGATTATTGAGGCATCGAGAAGCAAATTCCCTCCAAGAAGGCCGCTCTATGGATCTATTGAGACATCTGGAGAAGGAAATTTGCTTCAAGATGTCCATGGATTCTACGGATCTATTGAGGCATCTTGAGAAGGAAATTCCCTTCAAGGTAGCCGTGGGCTCTATGGATCTATTGAGATATCTGGAGAGGAAATTGCTTGAGCATTTGCTTCCGGCTCAACCTTGAATGTCTAGGCCCATCAAAGCCTTCGAGAAAGCTGGGCCAGATCCTACTTCTGAGGGTGGCGACAAAACTGCGAAAAGGCCTGGGAAGGCTGGACAATTCCGCTGCGCCCACTGAGGGCAGCAAGTCGGGAACATGTGAACATGTCTATATACACGGAGCGCTCCGTTGGCCATTTGCGAGCTAGCACGCTAGTAGCGCGCGCAAATTTTGGAGGCGCGGGAGGAAGGCCCAGCCAGGCCGACCAACCTCCCCAACTCCTCTACTGGGGGTCCGCCCCGCAGCAGCCCATCTCAAGCCATCCCGTCTGGAGGCGCGGGACAAAGGCCCAGCCATGCCGACCAACTTCCCCCACTCCACTACAGGGGGTCCTCCCCACTGCAGCAACAATGGACTGAAGCCGCAGTAGCCCCATCAGGCCACTAGCTCTTGCCGACGACGCAAAGCCGCCCGCCCCCGCCAGGAGCGGACAGTGACGCTGAGCTCCTGAAGCAAGGCCGCTTGCGCCGCGTCGGGAGCGTCCCCACTACGGGCAGCTACTGCTGTAGCCAGATGCTTGAGCACCGTGGCCGCGCCCTTATCCCAGGTGCCGGTGGACTCGGCCACCATCGGCACAAAGACAACCCCCTGAGCCTCGCAGCTTTTTGCTGTGTCCAGGTGCCGCTCCTTGAGCCTGGCATAGTCTGCCGCGGCTGCTCCTGTTTCCCTGCTGGCGATGGCCAGAGCTTCCTGTCGCTGCGGTGCCGTGATGGCGAAGTCAAGTGCGGCAGGAGAGCCGGCCAAGGCCGGGAGGTACACATCGGCGGGCCGCCGCCGAGCGGAGTGTGTGTCTTCAGGACTCTGGGGTAGCAATAAGCCCGCTCGCTCCTTTTCCGGCCGGAGGCCAGCACGCTCGGCCCAGGCGCAGACCAAGTCGCGGACTGCGTTGTGTCGCTGGGTACGTTCCCCCCCCAGCTACACACATGGAGGCATGGAGGCCATGGCGATCGAGGATGCCATCACAACGTGGGCACCAAACATCTTCTGAGGCTTCAGAAGATGGCAGCCTCCATTCGGGTTTTGCCGGCAGGTAGGGCCGCCAGAAAGGCACGCGCTCCCGCCCCAGCCTCAGAAAAGAGCGTTGCGCGGGCAACCGGGCTAGCAGTCAAGAGGATGGCGTCCCAAGTGGCAGAGTCGATGCGTTGGGAGAGGTCCCGCTGTTTGCTGGCCATGACAGCTTCCAGGGTCATAGCCCGATTTCCAGGCAGCTGTGCATTAAGGGCATGGAGAGCAGCAGTGACCTCAGCATCCTGGAGCACGGTGTCAGTCGAGAAGGAGGGGTCAAGTTCCGCGCAGGCCCAAAGGCACGAGCCCAGAGAGGCTAAGCAAGCTGCCGGCGCGTGCGCTGCACTGCTTCGGAGCCCAAGTCCCGCCTGCGCGAAACCCAGCTCAGCTTGGCGCCACTGCGAAGCAGTGGGATGAATGCCGGTGAACCCGGCAAAACATCGCCTGACCATACCATCAAAGGACTGAAGAGCTGCGCACTGTGCTTGCGAGGGGTTGCACCGCATGCTGTGGACCATTCGCACATAGCTGGCGCAAGCCCGTAAAAGACGCAGAGCCACCTGCGGGTCTTCCAGTTCGGCCAACGCTTCCAACAGCTCCGCAGCCTTGGCAGCACGCTGTTCGGTGTGCCCCTGCACGAAAGAGGCATCCCCAATACCTGCCCCCAGGAACTCAAAGTTTTGGAGGACCCGGCTGGTGCCATCCTCATGCTGAAGCAGAGGTGATGGGAAATGCGCACTGAGAGCGGCAGTTGGCACAGGCCCGAATACCACGGCTTCACATTTGGCAAGGTTTAATGTGAGCCCAACGCTGGCAGCACCTTGTTGAACGTGTGCCAACGCCGACCCCACATCGGCGAGGTCACCGGCCAGTCTGCCATCGTCCAGGAAGTGCACAGCCAGGTCCAACGAGGAGCTCCGCAAGTTGGAGGCCAACGACTGTAAGGCAGCGGAGAAGAGCAGTGGGCCTAGGGGATCTCCCTGCTGAACTCCCGACGAGCTGTTGAGGCTTCGTTCCGCAAATTGCAAGCGTGGGCTGTCTGTAGCACCAAACGGCCCACCTGGCCAAAGCCGGGAAGTGGGTGAGTGTCTGCTGCAGAACAGCTTCCCTGCTAATGCAGTTGAAGGCATTGGTGAAGTCCATTTTGACTAACACCTTGCTCGAGGAGCCGGCCTGACGGCGTGCCCAAGCACGCACAGTGTGGACAGCCTTCTCAGCTCCGCCTTTGACAGCCACTCCCACTTGGGCCGGCCAGAAACAGGCATTTGCCAGTGAGGCGCCTCAGGAGCTCTCCCACAGCAATGGGACGAACACCCCCAGAAGGCTTGGGGAGCGCCACAAGGCCAGCACCAGCCAGGACCGGGGCAACGCAGGCCGGAGCCCGCCCATGCGCGAGTAGCTGCACCACGGCTGTAAGCTGAGCAATCAGAGTGTCAGTGGCACCAGCCGCACAGGCCTCTCGCAAGTGCTGCACCCGCAAACCTGTCGGCCCGGGGGCCGTTTCTGGTGAAAAGGCTCGCAAGCACCTGGAAACTAGTTCAGGAGAAATGTCGGGCCCCAAAGGAAGGTTCTGTAGAGGCCGGTCAGCAGGCACAGGGCCAGATGGGTGTAAGGCCTCCAAAGCACGGGCAGTTTCAGCAGTGGGCGGGCAAAGGCCCTTTGAAAGTAGAGCCGCCGAAGCTTTTCTGTCAAAGCCTTCCCGCCCCAACGCAGTAGCCATATCCCGGCGCTCCTCCGGCGTCGGAGTGGAGGCACCTCGCCGTTTGTGCTGGGGCCGAGTTTCCCAGAGAGATAGGCGCTCGCCTTCTTGCCACTGTTGCATGCGGTCCAGCGTAAAGGAAGCGGCAGCTTTCCGGTGCCGCTTACCCCCCCTCAAGGGGGAACAGAGGACACTCTAAGGAAGCATTAGAAGTTCACGCCAGGCCCGCTCATCGTTCCGATGCGCGACCGCAGCAAGGGCCCTTGTCAGCAGCTGGCACCAAGTGTGTCGAGCCGCTGCAGGAACATGCCTGAGGGTAGGCGTGCGAGCGGACTGAATGGCCTCGAAGCTCGGGAGCTGCAGGCCCTCCACCTCCATGGGATGGCCGCCATCCACTGCAGCAGCACGGGCCTCTGGCTGACAAGTCGGATGCACAGCGTGTCGCTCCGACACACTGAGGCCGCACACTGGGCAGCGCATGCGTTGACGGGCCTCCAGCCAGGCAGCAGGAATGTCTCCAGCCAGTGTCCCGGCTAGGTGGGCGTCGATGTGTGACCGCATGCTGGCGTCATTCGCCCAGCCACGGGCTCGCATGGGATCGTGGCATGGGCAGCCCTCCACAGGGCAATAGACTCTGCCAGGCCTAGGCGTCGGGCGGCTGGCGCGATGAATAGGGGACCGCTCACGCCGGTCAACATCCTGGGCCGGTGATGCCGCCGCTGGTCCGGGGAGATCAGCCTCCCCAAAGCGTCGACCTCGGCTGGGCCATCCACACCAGTGCCGAGAACGCTGAGGCCAGGCCCGCCAGTTTGCACGCTGCTTCTTGAAGAGACAACGACACCGTCGGCGGAACAGTGCACTGGCTTGTGGCGGCCGCCAGATGTTATGATCAGGGGCAGGCGCTTCGCTGTCTCTCCAGACAATGTTCAAATGTTCAGTGAGTCTGCGCCGCTCACCCCTCCCGATACTGCCCAAATCATCGTAGGGAGACGATCTTCTCCCCGAGCTCTGGGCCCCAACACCAGTTAGGACTCGCGACGCAAGAAACAGCCAGCAGAGCACCTGCTGGGGCCCCGGAGAAGGCGCCATTGCTCAGAGAAAGCACCCTTTTCCTCGTATGGAGCACTCTGGAGCCAAAATGGCCATCAAGGTGCCCGCGGGCTCTACGGATCTTTGAGATATCTTGAGAAGGAGATTCCCTTCAAGATATTCGTGGACTCTATGGGTCCATTGACGTATCTTGATAAAGAAATTCCCTTCAAGGCGTCCGTGGGCTCTGTTGTTATATTGAAGCATCTTGAGAAGGAAATTCCCTTCAAGATATCCATGGACTCCCTTGAGGCATCTTGAAGAGAAAATTCCCTTCAAGGTGTCCATGGACTCTATGGATCTATCGAGGCATCTTCAGAAGGTAATTTCCGTCAAGGTATCCGTGGACTCTACGAATCTATTGAGGTATCTTGTGAAGAAATTACCTTCAACGTATCCGTGGGATCTGTGGATCTATTGAGGTATCTTGAGAAGGAAATTCCCTTCAAGGTGTCCGTGGACTCTGAGGATCTATATATTGAGGCATCTTGAGAATTAAATTGTCTTCAAGGTGACCATGAGCTCTCTGGATCTATTGAGGCATCTTGAGAAGTAAATTCCCTTCATGGTGTCCGTGGGCTCTATGGATCTATTGATGCGTCTTGAGAAGTAAATTCCATTCAAGGTGTCCATGGGCTCTATGGATCTATTGAGATATCTTGAGAAGGAAATTTGCTTCAAGGCGTCCGTGGGCTCTGTGGTTTTATTGAAGCATCTTGAGAAAGAAATTCCCTTGAAGATCTCCATAGGCTCTATGGATCTATTGAGGCATCTTGAAAAGGAAATTCTCTTCAAGGTGTCCGTGGACTCTATGGATCTATTGAGGCATCTTGAGAAGGAAATTACCTTCAAGGAATCCGTGGGATCTGTGGATCTATTGAGGCATCTTGAGAAGGAAATTGCCTTCAAGGTATCCGTGGTCTCTGGGGATCTTTTGAGGCAGCTTGAGAAGAAAATTCCTTTCAAGCTAACCATGATTCTATCCCTCTAAGTTATCCATGGATTCTATGGATCTATTGAAGCATCTTGAGAAGGAAATTCGCTTGAAGGTATCCATGGGCTCTGGGGATTTATTGAAGCATCTTGAGAAGGAAATTCCCTTCAACATGACCGTGGGCTCTATGGATCGATCCATTGAGATATCTTGAGAAGGAAATTCCTTTCAAGGCGTCCGTGGACTCTATGGATCTATTGAGGTATCCGTGGGCTCTAGGCATCTATTGAGATATCTTGAGAAGGAAATTGCCTTCAAGGTATCCGTGGGCTCTGTGGATCTATTGAGATATCTTGAAAAGAAAATTCCCTTCAAGATATCCATGGGTTCTACGGATCTATCTTGAGAAGCCGTGGACTCTGTGGATCTATTGAAGTATCTTGAGAAGGAAATTGCCTTGAAGGTGGCCGTGGGCTCTATGGATCTATTGAGGCATCTTGAGAAGGAAATTCCCTTCAAGGTGCCCGTGGACTCTGAGGATCTATTAGAAGGGAATTTGCTTCTCAAGAGGCCTCAATAGATCCCCAGAGTCCGTGGATACCTTGAAGATAATTTCCTTCTCAAGATGCCCCAATAGAAATTCAGAGCGCACGGACCCCTTGCAGGGAGTTTCCTTCTCAAGATGCCTCAATCCATAGAGTCCAGAATCACCTTGAAGGGAGTTTTCTCTCAAGATGCCTCAATAGATCTCCAGAATCCACGGATATCTTGAAGGAAATTTCCTTCTCAAGATGCCTCAATAAATCCGCAGAGCCCACGGACTTCTTGAAGAGAACTTATTTCTCAAGATACCTCAATGGATCCCCAGAATCCATGATCATCTTGAAGGCAATTTCCTTCTCAAGATGCCTCAATAGATCCCCAGAGCCCATGGATATCTTGAAGGGAATCACCTTCTCGATTATGGATCCCTGAAAGGAAATTTCCTTCTCAAGATGCCTCAATAGATCCGTAGAGCCCACAGATACCTTGAAGATAATTTGTCAAGATGCCTCAATAGATCCATAGAGCCCATGGATACCTTGAAGGGAATTTCCTTCTCAAGATGCCTTAATAGATCCTCAGAGCCCATGGTCATCTTGAAGGCAATTTCCTTCTCAAGATGCCTCAATGGATCCATAGAGACCGCGGACGCCTTGAATGGAATTTCCTTCTCAAGATGCTTCAATAGATTCCCAACTCCTTTCGATACCTTGAAGGGAATTTCCTTCTCAAGATACCTCAATAGACCAACAGATCCCATGGTTACCTTGAAGGTAATTTCCTTATCAGGGCCCACGACCACCTTGAAGGGTATTTTCTTCTCAAGATGTCTCAATAGATCCATAGAGTCGATGGCTTTCTTGAAGAGAATTTCGCTCTCAAGATGTTTCAATAAATCCGCAGAGTCCATGGTCACCTTGAAGGGAATTTCCTTCTCAAGATGCCTCAATAGATGCAAAGAGCCCACGGCCACCTTCAAAGGAATTTCCTTTTTTTTTTGGCAATTGTAGCGGGATATGAGAGAGTGGATGCAGGAATGAAGGGATATTCCTGCTTGTCGGTCTTTGGCAGAAGAATATCAGATTGAGAAACTCGAGAAAAGGGTGTGATGGAACATATCTCGCCGGTGCAAGAGGATCCTGTACGAAGAGGCGTGTCAGAATACGTCGGCACACGTGTATTGATCCCGAATTCGCGGATAATGGCTTCTGCGGGGGCCCTATTTCTTCTGTTTGGGCGGTGTTCGAACGGGAGCTCGCGCTTGTTGACAAATACGGACTTCACTTCGATCTAGCCAAGACTACCCTATACGTCCTGGTTGGGGATAATTTCAGTGGCGACCTTCGGCCTTTCGAAGCGCTCACAGGGTGCGTATCGTCAAAGGCGTCGACGTACAGATGCCCAGGTGCCCGTGTCAGGCTCGCACGATTTCTTTTCCGAATGGAATCGTCGCAAAATTGTCGAAGTCGATGAGGCAATCGGGGCTGTCGAACACCTACCACACAAGCATATAGCCCTCCATCTCTTGCAACGCTGTTTGAGCTTTCCCAAATTGCTTTATTGCGCCCGAACTGTTGGTAGCACCCACCTCCAACCTCTCTTGCTTGCGCATAGCGATAGGTTGCGAGCCGCGCTTCGGTACCAAGTCGGTCAGGAACTATCGGAGGTTCAATGGAGACAGCCTACACTTCCAACCAAAGTGGGGGGTTTGGCATTGCTCATTGATGATATTTCGGTGCGGAATGGGAGGCTTTCTCGGGCGGACATTGCTATGGTGTGTTCTTGGCAGGCCACTTGGGAACAGATTCGATCGTTGCTTGGCCCTGCGGCTGACACGGATGTCGATCTTGATCGGACGTTGGCTCTCCGAGCATTGAGTCCTCACTTCCCTCACTTGCGAGCGATTAGACAGTCAGCATACTATCCTACTCAACCATCGAGGCTTGATACAGGCAGCTATGGAAAAGCTAAGCGCATACCTTCTTGCGGGCAGTGGTCCAGGCGAAGCTACTAGGCTGCTGGCCTGCAAAGCCAAGTGGGCCGATGGTTGGCTTGGGGTTATTCCTAGCATTTGTTCAGACACTCTTTTATCCAACGTTGCAGTCACTGATTCCATTTCTCTGCGACTTGGGGTGGATGTTCTGGATAATGGCGGATGTCCCTTCTGTATGCAAGCTCACGATACTTTGGGCCACCATAGCATGACTTGTATGGCAGGAGGTTGTCGGACTCGCATATATTACACCTTACATGATACGATTTTCAGGGTCGCACGAGAAGCGGGAACGCGGCCCAAAACTCGCTTGGGGGTCTTTTGCCAAATGCCGAGGGACGCCGCCCGGCGGATGTCTTACTGCTGTCAACCCCCTTTTGAAGCAGAACGAGTGGCAGAGATTCCCCCAGATGGCTTTGGATTTCGCGGTGGTGTCTCCGTATACGGCGGTGGCGATAGGGCGACAATCCCCAAATCCGGCAAGTGTTGCGGCTGTCTATGCAGAAACTAAACGGCAAGATAAGGGAACTTTGCAGGCATGTCATGCGCAACAATTTGGCTTCGAACCAATTGTGTTCGAGACAACCGGGGGATGTGAGCAGGGGGCACATCGCCTTTTGAAAAACTTGTGCCAAGAATGCGACAGAAATCAGGGTAGGAAATCGGGCATCATTAAATCCATATTGAAAGGGTGAATCTCGATAGATATTCAACGGGGAATCTCTTTCATGTTGGGACGTTGTCGGGCCAATCATGGATCGGGTGATGCGGGTCCCCTGACCCCCCTCCCACCCCCCCCCCCCACTCCCACCCCCCAGCCCCCCACCCCCACCCCCCCTCCCCCCAACCCCCCCCACCCCCACCCCCCCCCCCTTCCTTCCCCCTCCCTCCGGCCCCCCTCCCCCCCTCCACGCCCCCCTCCCCCCGCCACCCCCCTCCCTCCCCCCCCACCCACCACCAATTTGTGGTTCGACTTAAATGAGTGAAAACACCCCACACACACCCCCCCTCCCGCCCCCTCCCCTCCCCCCTCCACCACCCCCCCCCCCCTCCCGCCCCCCCTCCCTCGGAGGAGTCATTTCGAGATTCCTCCAGGAGTGCTTGAGCTAATGATGCGATATGATTTGCAGGATGGCCCCCGCGCGCAGGCTCCGTCATGTGAGTCGTGGCAACTGCACTGTAAAAAATTCTGATACTCTCACTTATTTGTGAAGTGTTTCTCGTGATTGTACTTGGGAACCATACCGAGAGAGAAATGTCTCATTTTTGGGTCCCTTCCTCGAGTCGGATAGTTTTCGTCGTTTGGCTGGGGGCACTTCTTTTCTTCTGGGTCTAATTCGGGGTGGTGGTGGGACCGTGCACGTGCCTAGGAGTGCAGAAGTACCTCGTTTCTCATGTATATCTTTCTCGAGGATTGTGAAAATTTCTTTTGATTTCTGTTGGGAGTATACGTCTCTCTCAATGAAGATGTCGTAGCGAATTGCTACTTTTGGGAGCACTTGTCTCTTGCACCGAAGTGAAGAAATTTCCTTCAAGGTGTCCGTGGAGTCTATGGCTAGCTGAGATGAAGTGCTACTATTGCTACTTCTGGGAAATCTCTCTGCTGAGCTTCTCGAATGAGAAATCTCTCTCGGAAGCGTGTTGTATTGTATATAATTGGAGTTCACCCTTGATATGTCTCACTTTTTGGCTTCTTCGTTTTTTTCTTTTGTTTTTCGTCTTTCTGGGACGCCTCTTTAATTGGGGGGGGTGGCGGGCTTTTGTGCATGTCGAGGTGTCTTGGAGAGCACGAAACTTTGATTGTTTGGTTTCGTTTCTGGATCCAGAGTATACGGACGCAGAAGCCGTCGTATTCTCTTAGTATTATCTCTCTTTTCTTAATTGACGCTTTTGGGAGCAGAAGTCTCTTGCGTCCTGGATACGGAGCGCTTGATGTCTTTACGCTACTGACGCTATGGATCTATTGAGACATCTTGAGAAAGAAATTATCTTCAAGGTGATCGCGGGCTCAGTGACAGGAGGCCGACAGGCCGGGGTGTGAGGTAAGCTCTCATTTTCTGAGGGGGTAGATGAATGGATCTATCCATTCGCATCGATGAATGGATCTATCCATTCGCATCGTTGTTGCCAGGCCGAGTGTCGGAAGTCGTTGATGGCTTGGTTTCAAGGGGGTGTTCGTTCTTTGTAGTAGTCATGGGTGGATGTCTCTTTCTTGTCGTTCTCTCCGGGGGTCTCCGTATCTTGGCGTAATTCGGGGCGGTGGGGGACGCTTTTCCTTGTTGGGTTATGGAGATCTTTTGCCTTTACTCGTCTGTTGTTTGGATATCTTCATATGTCCTTCTGGATCTCATTTGGGGTATTCCTGAGCAGAAGCCTTTTCTTTTCCTCGTGAGGATCCCAATCTTTTGCCTTTTGATGGAGGCCTCTCATAGGATCTCGTTCCGGAGACTTCATTCTGAAAGTTTTTAATCCTGGAGCCTGAAGGGACAAGGCTTTCCTTCGTATTTCACAAGCAAAGGCCAAATCAATTAATCTTGATGCATGATCCAATATAGAGGGCAAAGTGCGTTTTGACGGGCTCTGGGGATCTATTGAGGCATCTTGAGAAGGAAATTCCCTTCAAGGTGTCCGTGGACTCTGTGGATCTATTGAAATATCTTGAAAAAGGAATTTCTTTCAAGGTGACCATGGGTTCTACGGATCTATTGAGGCATCTTGAAAAGGAAATTTGCTTTCAAGATGACTATGGAATCTGGGAATCTATTGAGACATCTTGAAAAATAAATAATCTTCAAGATATCTGGGGACTCTATGGATCTATTGAGGCATCTTGAAAAAGGAAATTCCTTTCAAAATGACCGCGTGAAGTCATGTACTGGCTGACCAGCAAATGGTTCATGCAAAGCATGTGCAAAGCACACTTTTTGGACCCTTTTACATGTCCTCTGCTCGGTCGGCTGAAGGCACTTTCTCATATTAAGGCACGATTTTGCCACCTCCAGCCGACCAAGCCTTGTCAAGACGGAGAAAATCCGCGCACAAAGCACCATCAAGCTCGGTCTCATGCTGTCTGCTTACTCAGCTGTCACTACCAAATAGCTGTAGGTCAACACATGTCAAATGCAAGGTTCTTAGGGCGATGTTCGAGCCGTGGACAAAAGCGCAAGGAGACTAGACGCACCGTGGTGCACAAAGCAGGTCACCCGTGGTGCAACAAGTGAGTACAAGTTTCAACAATAGTGCTGACGGTCGTCTTGACCTGAGCAGTAGCTGTCTGGCCAAGATCAGGCAATGCCTCTACGATCTGGTTCGTGTGAGACGCGGTCTGCGTAGGGTCGAGATGCTTCTCATCACAAATGAGGTTCACTTTGTGGACCAGATCTATCAATTGGGTTGCGTTCATGAGGGTACCCATGGCCAGACTGGAGCTCGTTTTGGCCAACTCCTGAGTGCGAGTTTTCAAGGCTTGCGGCGATCCTGTGCCGTCCAAGTAGGCGTGCCATGCTGCGTTCCACTGGTCATCGTCAGCACACAGAGCGCCCGCCCCACTTGTCGAAGAGCGCCAGTGCTTGACTCATCTCCTCCAACACCAACATCGTTTCAACCTTTGTACAAATGGTCCTGGCCGATGAACCCAAAATGCCTGTGGAAGATATTCAAGTTGTCCGGGCCAAGACTGTTGCTGTTCGGTTGAAGTGAGCACAACAAAAGGCCAAGCTCGATACTGGTTTGGTCTAAGTCGCTCACTCAATCTATCACTCTGCTCTTGGCAGCCCGACAAGAGCTCGAAGGAAACTGCGCACCAGAGGACATGGACGCGCAGCTCGAAACCAAAAAGATAAAACTCTAACCTCTACATACAACAATTTCTTTCCCCTCATCTGAACCAAACAATGAAATGAAAGCTAAGACTCAGA